CTGTAAAGTTTACCTTCAGGATTTTTGATACCACTTACTTCCCCAATATAATAGAGAAGCCCTTAGGCCCAGAAGGGCATGCACTTTGGGGGCAGCAAGGAGATAGGGTGCCAAGTTCTTACTTCAGTTAGCCCTGGGTGGACAGAGGACCCACGGAGGGAGTCTCTTAGGATCCTTAGGACAAAAGGAAGGGACTCCTACCGGAGGAAGGAACAGAACCGACCAGGCAACCGAGTGCTTGCCTTTCTCGTCCTGAAACAAAAGACAAGGTACGTTCGCGTCTCCATAGCTCATTTGACAGCAGCTGTGGAGAGACGGGCTGGTCGTCCCCTTTGCTACTTCAGCTTTATTTGGAAATCATTGATTGCTCTTCTCAAAAGTAGTTATGTGTCTTCCTTGGGACCTGGGAGAAAGGAATTACTCCAACTATCTGTGTTTCTTGGGTTAGAAGAGGAATCCCAGTTGACAAAGACTCGGGGTGCTATGAGAATTTTCCGGTTCCAGCGAAGAAATATCCAAGTGCCACAATGTGCTAGTGACTTATAAGATGGCCCGTAGTATACACTGGGGACACAGTGAGTGCTCACGGAAATTGCAGCGTGCACCTGAGAGGATGGGTCTAGGGCAGAATCAGCTTGATCCGGGCAGGAGGCGGATGGCCGCCATCACAGGGGCATGCATTTGTGTGGCTTTTACACAGTGTGAGGGGCCCGCCTACTACTTTACACAGCGAGTTTATTGCCAAGGGGATGTTTCTCATCAAGAACCGGTCCCCTACCCCCCTGCTCAGCTCTGCCTTGCTCTTAGCCTGCCTGGGGGCCATTGAGAAGCTCCTCAGGTGGCACTTGGTTCGTCTGAAGCTAGGGAGTGCAGGGGTGGCTCTAGCAAGTATCTCACCAGGAAGGGCTCCCCTTTGCTCTCCACTCAAGGCCACGAGGCAGGTACCCATGAAAGTGGAAGCGATCCAGGTGCTTACCGGGGATGCTCAGCACAGGGTAGGCCTTTGACAAGCAACTTCCTGCTTTATTGTAAAATGCTGAAGACTGTGTGCCCTTGGCAGTTAGAAGTGCTACTTGACAAAAGTGGGTATAAACAATTGAGCGGGTCTATTAGAATGCAAACTTTTTCATAGCAACCACTAGGATGAGTACTCCTGAAAATGGCTCATCTGCCTTCAAATGCTCCTGTCATTTCACTCATTGCCTATCACTTAGGCAACACACACACCCTAAGGACCACCTGAAGAATCCTGGGAGTGCTGTGGGGTAGGTGTTGGTCAGTTAACTACAGAGTGGGTGGTTCGAGCCTGTGAGGCGCTCCTTGGGAGAAAGATGAGACTGCACTGAGAGACGCAGAGTCTCAGAAACCCTAGATTCAGTTGTTATGGGTTGGAATTGACTAGATGGTCATGCCTTTTGACTTTAGAAGCTGTGATGGTTGGAGATTAACATCAATTACACAGTTGTGGGTATGGGCAGGGCCAAGGCCTAACCTATCAACTGGGTCACACCTGATGGCGCCTGTGGTGTTTGGCGTTATAAGCCTTTTAGTATGAGTGAGACATACTGGGAGCTCGCTCTCTGCCGCTTCGCCTTCCTTCTCGCCAGGACACTGCCTGCCTGTAGGGGCGCTTCCATGTGGGCCGCTCAGCCCTGAGAACCGTCTGTGCCCTGCATGTTTCCTCCAACCCTGGATCCACGTGATTCTGCACCCACCGGGCCTGTAATTCGACTTTCTGCATCATCAGCCCGCAGTATGTGAGCGTGACGAGGCCCTGGCTTGGATCAGGCCTACGGACTTGAGTTGGACTTAGCTGGGCTGCTTTCTTGATATAAGATTATTTCTTGATATAAAGCTCTTTTTTTATACATATGAGTGGCATTGGATTTGTTTCTCTAGACAACTCAGTCTAACACAGAAGGTATCAGCATGTGCCTAGGAAACAGGGCCAATTGATAGAGTAGCTAAAGCTCATGGAAGAAATAATGTGGTAAAGGAGCCCAGTGGAAATCTTCAGAGGGCAGTCTGAGATACAATAATACTCTACGATGTAGAGTATTAAATGAAATGTGTTAAGGCCTAGAGTTAGAAAGCCCAAGAGGGAGAAAGAAGAAAAAAAAAATCAAGCTTCAAGATTCAATATTGAAAGATTCTATGGGCAAAATATTGAATGAGGCAAGAAGCATCCCAAGAAGATGGGGGAAAGACCCAGTCACTATACAGAAAAAAATGATTTATGTCCAACCATTCCAAGAGGTTGCATATGCTTCAGAACCAATGGTATTGAAGGAAGAAGTCCAAGCTACACAGAAAAATAAATAAATAAAAATAAGGCTCACCAAGAATTGATGGAATACCAACCGAAACGTTTCAACAGCCGATGGAGATGCACTGAAGGCACTCACTCTTCTAGGCCAAGAAAACTGGAAGGCAGCTACTGACCAACCAACTGGAAGAGATCCATACTTGTGCACATTTCAAAAAAGGTAACACAACAGAATGTGGAAACTATCCAACAATAGCATTAATTTCACATACAAATAAAAGTGTGCTGGCCATAATGCAAAACCAGTCCCAGCAGTCCATAGACAGAGAGCTTCCAGAAATACAGTGTGGATTCAGAAAAGGATGTGGCACATGGGGTGTCATTGCTGACTTTGGATGGACCTTGACTCAAAGCAGAGAATAGCAGGAAGATGTTTGTGGTTTATTGACTATGCAAAGGCATTTGTTTGACTGTGTGGATCATAAAACACATAAACACTCAATATTATTGCGAAGAATGGAAATTCCAGAGCATTGTGCTCAAACAGAACACACACACACACACACACACACACACACTATATACATATATATATATATACATACATACATACATACAAGAGGCAGATCAGAACAAGGGGACAGACACTGCCTGGCTTAAAATCCAGAAAGGTGTGCATCAGGATTGTAGCCTTTCGCCACATTTATTCCACTTGCCTGCTGAGCAGATAATCTATGGAGCAGGATTTAGAAAAACATGGCACCAGAACTGGAAGCATGGATGAAGCACTTACTGATAAAAATCAAAGACTATTGCTTTCAATATAGATTGCAACTCAGTGTAAAGAAAACCCAAATCTCACAACTGGACCAATAGATAATAATAAAAAATCATGATAGACAGTAGAGATCGAAGTGGCCGGTGATTTCATTTTGCTTGGATCCATCATCAGTGCTCATGGAAGCAGCAGTCAAGAAATGAAATGACATGTTCCACTGGACAAATCTCCTGCCCATCTTTAAAGCATTGAAGAGCAAAGAGATTAAGGTGCACTTGACCCAAACAATGTTATTTTCAATGGGCTCACAGGCATGTGCATGTTGGACAATGAATAAGGAAGACTGAAGGGTTGATGCGTTTGAATGATGGTGTTGAAGTATATTGAAATCACCATGGCTTGTCAGAAGACACACAAATCAGCCTAAGGGGGGAAAATATACAGCTCAATGCTCCTTAGAAGTGAGGGTGATGAGACTTTGATTCACTTTGGACACGATACTGAGGGCGATGAGACTTTGAATCACTTTGGACACTTTACTGAGGGTGATGGGACTTTGAATCACTTTGGACACGTTCTCAGGAGAGACCAGTCTCTGGAGGTTCAACATCAAAGGGGAAGATCCTCACTCAGCAAGATGGAGTAAACAGTGGCAGCAACAATGGGCTCCAGTAGAAAGCAACTGAGAGGATGGCTCAGGACTGGGCAGGGTTTTGTTCTGTTCTGGACAGGGTTGCTTTTGAGCCCCAATCAAGCCAACGGCACCTAACAACCACCACAACAGGAGGCAGGGTCAATGTTACCTCTACTTAGTCCCTGGAGGACATCACTCTCGGCAGAGGGGCGGGGAAAGAGGAAGGCCCCTCGATGAGGTGGGACGACACAGCGGCTGCACCGATGGACTCAGGCATTAGGACCATGGCAAGAGAGGCGCAGGACTGGGTGAGCTTTGTTCTGTTGTGTCACTCTGAGGGGACGGGACCTACCAAGAAAACCAGAGATGAAAACAGGGAAGGGGAAACAAAATGAGCCGGATAAAATCAAACATGCACCGATGTTAAGAATGAAACGTGTCCAGTTAAAATCCGAATCGTTGTAACCGCCAAGGCTTTGTTTAGAAAGAGGGTTGTTGGTCGGTGCTTGTGTTGTTGGGTTTCACGAACTACAGACCATGCCGAGTGTTTATTTCGAATTGGGTGAAGGTTCCCCGGGCAGATGTTTTCCACTAATTCACACCCACCGTGTTTCATCGCAGTGATTGCTGTCCCCACCAGGTGACACCACTTTCGTTACTCGGACAACCACCCAGCCTTCCCCATCTGCCCTCCTAACCCTCCTCAGCATTGGGCAAATGCTGCCCATTTCGTGCCCAGTAGTTGATTATTCCAATGTGAACGTCTCTTGTGTTAGCGCTCTGCTTACAGACCTCTCTATTGTTGGGCTGGAAATTGCGCCAATGGGGGTGAGTGAGTTCACTTCCAGACCTGAAGGGTGACTAAGGCTGTTCGGAAAGAGAACAGACATAGAGTCACATGGGGTGGAGGGGGTTGGGGAGCAGTCACTATGTGAGGCTCCTAATCAGAGACTGCCAATGCCATGAGCACTTGGAACTCATTGGGCAGTCCCTGGGAATAACCCATGCCTACGCCCAAGGCGTGATGGGGCCCCAGACCACCAGGAACACCTCAGCGGACGAGAAGAACCCACTCTTCCATGATTCAGGGCATGGCTGATGCTCTCCAGCACGTAGTTTCCCTTTCCTGTGGAGGACGCTTCAGGGCTTACACACACACACTGATACCGAGCCGTGCTTATCTGACAGAAGACTCAGGAGGCTGTCAACCTCCGAGTGTGGACCAGGGTGGGCGAGAGAAGGTAGCCGCTTTCATTTTTCAGCACCTGCACTGCCGTAGGAAGACCCGCCCTGCCCCTTCACGAAATAAATACAAACCAGCATAAGAAAAATGCATCTTTTATTTTTTTCCCCTCTCTCAGTGGCAGACTCACACGGGGGTCTGGATGGGGATTTCCAGCACTCTCGGGGACTGCTTTTGGAGGGTCAGAGCTTTCTTCACAGAGACACAGACAACGGGGTTAAATACGTTACATCACACCGGTTGACCAGATGGTCACTCTATACATATTCTTTGCGTTACTTTTCCTACAAATGAAAATTGAAAATCATATCAGAAATCCGACGATCAGCATCCAACGATGGTTTGGGAGAGGTTAACCTACAAGTATCAGCTGAAGTCCGTGACCTGGAACCCTCCCACGTGGGCAGGTGTTCCCTGTCAGGAGGGAAACGGACAATTTCGAAGAACCGAAGAGAATCTGAAACAAGTACTCTACAAAATGCTTTTAAAGTCTTTTTTACCTTCTTCTACGTCTTTCTCCCCTTGACACATACACTGCTTTGAGCAACGGGGCAAAAGCTTCAAATGCGCATTCTGCAGCTCATCTGAAATACCTGGACGGGAGACGGGCAAGGGAGGTACACGGTCAAAACCGCGAACCGTTCCCGTTTTGTGACACTGGGTAAAAACCGGCCATGCATGTGTTCCACTGCCAAGCGGGGAAACCATTCAATGAGAGAGTAAGGATCTTGGGGAAGCCCCGCTTCTGAAATGTCACGATGTGGCTTTACCAGAAATAGGTTAAGAGGCAGCATTCAAGGAAGAAAATAAAACAACCATCATTTAAAATAAACACCTCAAAAAGGTTTAGAGTGGTGTTCCAGTTTTTCTTTCACAGATTCCTACTAACCGGCTATGACTGTAACACAAGTCATAAAGCGCTGAGTATGAACACCCTTCGCAGTGCGTCCTCCCGTGGATTTCAAGTCACACACGAGCATCTTGGGCACATCGTGAACCAGTGTCTACAGTCTGCGCTAAAGAGCTGGGCACAGAAAGCCAGGCTATGCTTGGCTTCTTATAGAGTCACAGCACAGCAATATACTCACATCGTCACTGCAATTATGCTAGCCACAATTTTTAACCTTAGAAAGTTACATTAGGTGGTGTTGCAAGACATTTACCTTCCTCGGACCCGTTTTCAAAGAACTGTAGAGCTGTCATTTATTAAGGAAAAAAAATCCCCCCAAACAAAACAGTAGAAAACTGGAACTGATTGATACAGTTCCGGAAATATTTTGTGGCAAACTAACTATATTTTAATTTTTCCAAATACAAGAGTTTTTGGTCCATGAGGCTGTTAAAAAAAATAAGGATTAGGGATTTCCACCTATCAATATAAATGCCAAGTTCATGAACAAAATTTTTTTCATACTTAACACAAAAACATTTTTTTAATAAGAATACTTTTGTGGGTATGTGTCATTAAACGCCTGAAATTGTCTCTAATAAATAAAAGGCAAGACTAAGTAAAATCACACATAAATTAAGATGCTTTAATACGTTGCTCTCAGTTTCCTTTTGCAGGCCATTGATTCCGTCTTTTCACGGCGACTGGCATAACTTTCTTCTAATACCACGAAGCAGGGTTGTGTGCTTCATGTGGCGGGTTTCCTCCCGCTAGGGTAGGAGGCAGCAAACTCCAGCCTCAAAGAGCAAGCCCGGCCGACAGCTTGTTTTCCTCCAGCTTTACGAAGCAGCACAGCGGCTTTGGCTGCCTCTGTGCTGGCACAGCAGAGCCAGCAGTCTCTGCAGACCAGGTCACTCTTAAAGCTGACACTCTACATCTGCCTGAAGGTCAGAGGAAGCACGCTCACCCTCGCTACATGGGCTTTCCAGAACGATCACAGGTAATGCACGTGTTCCTTGACTTTCAATGCTTTGGTTTCTTGGGTATAGCCCATCTTTTTGTCACACGTCATTTTATTTTTTGGTGTGCACCTTGGAAACGTAACGTCACGGCTGAGTTCACTTCCGAATGGAAGCCTAATCTTTGTCCAAACATTTGCGTTTCAGTCACCCAGAAGTTTCCCAGGGCTGACATGATAATCAAGTAGGTCAAACACCAAGAGAATGGTCAGAAAACTGTACACCCCAGCTTATCTGGAATAAGGGTGCTGAGAAATGGTTAGGCAAGCGAAAAATGGAAAACCAAATATGCTTCAGTCAATGCCATTAAATTAGGGGGTGGGGGGACAGGGTGTGCGAGTTTTCAAAACACACACACACACACACACACACACACACACACACACACACCCCTCCCACTGATCACAACTGAGAGCTACAACATACCCAAAGCATATCGTTTTATAAATATATTACTGTCTATATACATATAGATACATCCATAAGAGACAGGTTAAATAATTATCTGTATAATCAATACTACTTTAAGCTTTTTTTTTTTGGTTTTTGTTTTAAATTACATATTCTATTAAAATTATCAAAATAACTCTTTAAAAATAACCAGGAATAAAATCAGAAGAGTTGCGTTCCATTCAAGTGTTCTAAATCTTTTCCTTGGTCACCTGGATCCCAGACCCAGCTGTCTACATCTCAGAGAGACAGAGTTCCATCAGGGAAAAGTAGCCATCAAAAGCAAACCCCGCCCCCTCCCCACCTATTTTAATACTTCATAGCAAATAGGTATGTATGTATGTCTCTCTCTATGTGCGTGATAGATATAAAACACTCTTCGTTATATATTCTCATAAATGAATTTTTGTAAAAAACACAAAACTCAAGTTCCCACCAAATCTTTTTTACACTGGTGTGCACTTCTTTTAAATGGTTAGGTCAGCAATGAACTGCATCAGGATATACAGATCATAAAATGAGATCTAAAGTGTATGTACCACATGCAAGCAAGAAGGAAATACTAAGGGCCAGTATTTGGCCAGCGGGGTACTATCCCCTCTGTACTTAGACACAGAGACAATGAACTGGCTGATTCCTGTGTAAAGTACAGTCAACTGCCAATTACTCAGGGCAGAATTTTCCAATCGGAGTCCTTTTCCTTCCATCAGTTGACCACTGCTGGCAATCGCGCCACTTCCTAACAAACCTCTTTCTGGGTACTTCTTAGCAAATCTGGTTAAACATTTTTTTTTTTTTTTGAGTAGGGAGACCGCTTTGGCTAAAACGAAGGGTTGGGATCCACTGGGGGCTCACTTTTGGGCTCCTTTTACTTATTGTTTCGGGTAAGTAAGAATCAGCCCCAATCTCATTTGTGGGCCCCGAAAGCTGGGGCGGGGGTGGGGTGGGGTGGAGGGAGCCTCAGGAGAAACGCACGTGTCCTCTTGAAAGACACAGAGCCACCACTTAACTCGGAGGGAATCAGGGACTCGTGGCTGAAGTCACCTTGGTACAGGCGGCGGCCGAGGACACGCTTTCTCCCAACGGGCTGGCCAGCGATGAGGCAACTGACCACAAAGTCAATCGGCTGAGAACCCCTGGCTGGTCCAACGCAAGGGGGAGAGTGGAGAGTGACCGCAGGCTCCCCTTACAGATCGGGGCCCACTCGCCATCCCCTCCGTCGAATACTTAGGACGCGGAGACCGGCCGCAGGGCCTGCCGCGTGCAACTTAAAAGGGTGTGAGTTCAGACGAACAGAAGCCACACACAAAAAAGATTCTTAAGCCTATGACGAAAATCGAAGCCACTACACATTTGTAACCCTACTTTTGGCACTGGGTTTGCCTCTACGTTTAAGCTTGTTCTACAGGTAGTGGCCAACAGATCCGCGGAGAGAGGCTTTCCTGAGGGAGCGGCTGCTCTCCGGACGCGCCACTCGGACAGGTGGGGGTGACGTCACCTCCACGACTCGGGGCGGAGGGGTGCCGTTACGTCACCGCAAAGAGTCAACAGCAACAGTTGTGTAGAACACCACTTTCCTGAATTAAGTTTGCTGAACACGGTTCAGATTATTGGATATGTCGATATGCACAATGCCTTTTAGAAGCATTTACTGTATACCCAAATCCTACTCAGTGCAACACACGGTGTCGCACAAGTAGTGAAAATGTTATATCCTAGCCAAAGGTGCTTGGGCATTATTTTCAGGCAGCATTTTACCTTTATTTTACGTTAACGTCACACTAGATAGGTGTTTTAGGAGAAATAAAACGCCAATGAATTCATGTCCGCAGGTTTTGATAGGAGCGTATACAACTAAGACAGACGCTTGTGTTTGCCTAAACTGTGTTACTTTTGTTGTCTACCCTAGCCTAAAGCTCAATTTCGCTTCTTAAAAAAAAAAATTTGTATTTAAATAAGGGATAAAATGTTGCCCAAAAAGTCTAATCGTCTTTACACATTTGTGTTTTAACTAGATCTACAAATCAAAATAGTTCTTAAGAGTTAAAAAGATACAATTTGTATCAACAGTAAAAGGTACTTTCTGGCTTTTCTGGGCTTCAGACCAGTTATCAGGTAGAAAGAAATCAGAGTCACCAGGGCCTCTGGGCTGATGACAGAAACCGGCCTGAAAGAGCTGGCCACTTGGGCGACATTCAAAACCCGGAGGCATCACTCCAGGCTCTGTCCATTCCAATACCATCTGCCACTGACTGCAAAGTCTAGCTTCATACCCACAGAAATGTAGTCCCCTTTATCAAAACCCATGACTTTGAACCAGAAATATCCCTTACTAATACTAGAACAGACTTTAGTCTGTATCTATAACTACACTATTTGTGGCAAGAATCTGGCCTTAATAATATAACAGGCCCCCCTCCCACCCTCTCCCCTCAAAAGAAAGAAACAAACAAAACAAACTACCTTCAGGAAAATGGAAAATATACAATATCTTACAAAAACATTTTAAATTAGCATTTACAACTCCTCCGTCGCCAGTTCTATAGTGCAGTTTATCAATAAATGTTGCATCTCCTCCACACATAAAACCACCTCAGGCCAGCCTTGATAAATAGCAAGAAAGCTAAAGAGTACATTAAATAGAAAAGTTGCATTGAGAATAATTAGATTCATTTTAAGAACAGGCAAGTACTGTGAAAGGGTTGTTTTATCCAGTATCATTGTGCCCCAAACAAAAGGACAGACACCTTAGAAAGACAAACTCAAGGAAAATCAAGGAATTCAATTCCATTGCTACTGTCTAGAAGCACAGAATGTCTGGATAACAAAGCTCTAAACTGTACCAGTTGTGGCTTTTGCCTTATTCATATAAAAGAAAATGGGAAAAAAAATTTCCCATTGATTGCATCTGCTTTCCTTTAAATCAACCACATTAAATTATCTACTTACTCAACAGAAAGACAAGAACAAAGTCCAAACAATAAAAAGTGCCATCTTGTAAATCATTCTAATATAGGCTGTTACTCATTTCGACGTGAACCGGTAACTTAACATTTTCTTTAAAATATAAAGTCAGTGCTGTAGTTTCATCTTTGTTTTGTCTATAAATAATGATTCTAGCACAGAGAAGCCCACTTTCCCCCAAATAAAAATAACTTAAAAAGCTGTAAAAGAGTCTAATTAAGCTTGGCTTGAAAAATAGTTTGCTAGGTCTAAGTCAAATGTCCAACATTCTGTAGGTATTGTAATTGCTTGCAATTGATAGACAAACACCAAGGTAATAAAACATGAAACAAGGGTAAAAAGTGCTGCATATAAACCCCTGATGCACCAAAGATTAATATCAAAGATCACAGATACATCTATTAAATCAAACTGGAAAGATTTCCAGCCCAAGATATAGCTTTTAAAAAGGAAATGTTTAAAAAAAAGAAAAAAGTTTGAATGTAAAGCAATCTTGTGATACTTCCACCATGTGGGGCTATACATACAGATTCCATGATACAGTAGTTCACATAAATGGATACTATATGACCTCCTTGCTGAGAAGGAGATCACATGTGCTATTGTAGCAAACCTCCCTCAGCATTTGAGCTGAACAACAACAAAAACAAACAAACTACTAAACACCACAAAGCTGAGTCATCTTTCAATAACCCAGCTGTGATTTCTCCACTAGAATGGCTGCAGCCAGTTGCTGGGCATCGGTCATGTGAGGGTTCCGTTTCATGACAATTCTCACAAGGTCAGGTGGGAAGATGTTACACAGGTTGATAAAAATTTTTTCCCGGTTGTCTTGGTACCTTGGGGGGTCCTGTGGCATTCCGCAGTAGGGTATTCGCCAAGTGGGTTCTGGCTGCTCAGGGAGGCTCTGGAAGGTGAACTGATCGTAGCAAGGCGGGGTGGAGTTATCCGGCAAGGAGTATGTCTGCCGATAGCCATACGCATCGATCCCGTAACTCTGCCTATCCCAACCTCCCAGGCCCTCCTGGCGGGAATAAGGCTTCCTCTGTCTTGAAGGTGAACTGTCATAGAGCCGAGAGTCAGAGATGCTGTCTATTCGTGTGGCCACCAAGGACCTCCCCAGGTGTGGGACCTTCGAGTGCGCTGAACCTGGAGGAGACGGGTAGTCGCCGGGACAACTGGACCGGGCACCCACAGCCGGGTGCTGCAGGTGCATAGCTGCGTGTGCAAGAGGAGGCTTGGGATGGTACTTTGGTTCTTCGTGACTGTAACTCTGCACTCTGGTTAAGGGGTCGTGGAAGTTCTGCAGGAAGGGCTGGGGATTAAGGCGGCTGTGGGGGTGCATGTGCTGACACTTCAGACTCTCTTCCAGCTGCGGGTCCGGGGAGCTGACGTAGGAGCGGTCGTTGTACCCGACGTACGAGTCACTGCTCCCACAACTCATGCTCCCTTCACTGCTGCAATCCGAAGCGACAGAACTGATTCTGTAATCGGTGTCTAGGGAGAAACGCCTTTCAGGACTTCGTGGGCCTGAGATGCTCAGATTCGAATAGGCATTCAACATGGAGTAATAGCCCAGGTCAACAGGCGAGTCGCATTTGGGGTACTGTTCATAAGGCATTGGCGTTCCATGATTTTTGGTTGCCATCATCATCGGAGGATATTGTCCCTGCAGTCTTTGATCCTGAGGTGGGAAGTGAACTCCAGATGGAAGGCCATTGCTTAACGATGTAGTGCTTTGGGGTTTTGCAGTAGAAGTCGCCGGTATGCTAACCAAGGAAGGTACCGACCTGGTTTCCAATTTGTTTTTGGTGGGAAGCTTTTCCTCCAGGTCCTGATAGACCTGCGTCCTTATGCTGGGATCTGACTGCCTCTTTGGGGCACCGCGTTTGACATCGGAAGTGCTATCTGCCTTGGTGCTACAGGGGACGCTGTTGCTTTTCACCAGCCCGCCTTCGTTAGTAGTTTTGGCTGCTGTGTTCCGAGACATGGCACGGAGTTCATCTGCCACTGAGCGCTGAGGCTGGCTGCCCCTCTCAGGATGGTAATATTTGCACTTGTGTCCATAGGTGCACTTCTTCCCTATGAAGAGCAACATCGGTTAGGCGAAGGAGCACACCACCAGATCCCGACGCATGCAGTCTGCCACTCGCATGCTAGCTCGCGCAAGCAAGCCACCACGGCAGGTCTGCCAAGCGAAACTATGTTCCTTACTCTTGCAAAACACCACCCCCCTTTTGAGTTTTCCCACTCCTTTCTATCAAGAGCAGTGAGCAAGTTGGCCCCATGAGACATGATCCTCTCCCAGGGGTTTTGGCCCACGGGGCCCTGCTGGCGTAGTGGGCTATGTCTTGGGCTGCTAACGACAAGGTCAGCAATTCAAAACCACCAGTGACTCCGAGGGAGAACGATGAGGCTTTGCCACAAAGAGGTTGTGTGGGAAACCCACAGGGGCAGTTCTACCCTGTCCTCTAAGGGTCTCTATGCATCCGAATGGATGGCAGTGAGTTTTTTCGGAGCGTTTCTAGCTCATCTCCCTTTGGCCTGACTCATACCTCCCTGTCTCTTCCAGGAAAGCTTTATGGTGAGGGAGGGCACGCCACTTCACACAGCAGTCGGTGCTGCGGTAGAAACACCACCACCATGCTCGCAGGAATTGGACCTAGCTCTAAGAAAACGTCCAGGTTTCTAATCGATCTGGAAATGAACTTCATAGACTAGTGATGGAGTTTTGGGGAACCACGTGTTCATTCAGGGAAGTCCACTTGCAAGGAACCCATCTCAGCCAAAAAAGACTTCTTCCCCAGGCTGAAGGTTCTCTTAAATTTCAGAACCAGAACCCAAAGAACCACAGGCTGTGCCACCCAACATTTACAATTTCACTAGCAGAAGGTGAACAGTGCATGGCGTTCTAAAGGCAGGTATCGGGATGCTGCAAACAAGGTTACCATATGGACAAGGCTGCTTCTTGTGTTCAGGGACGATTGGTTTCTTCCTCAGAAAGTTATCCAGGCTGGGGCCATGTCTGCCCAGGGGGTCGTCAGGGGGCATGAATCTGCCGCGGAGAGAATAAAAAAGACACGGGCATCTCAACTGGGAGGCTGGTAACCTGATTCTAAAGATAAAGTGTACAAAGACCGACTCATGAATTCTTTTCCAAATATAATTTCCATCCAAATATTTGATTCAATATTTATAAGGTTCGGAAAAAGGAAAGAAAACAAGTATCCCAGGAAATGAAATTCTCTTTTCTTAATGAAAACAAAATTTCAACATTTCAAGCTGATCACACGTCTGTTCTACTACATGTAAGTTTTGAGGCTGGCATGTTATATGTAGTTCTGCCTTCCTCTCAGATTAGGAATTGTGTAAAGATTTTTGAAAGTAACTGTCATGACATTTGAGGAGTGCTTTATAAACACTCGTCTTTTTTCTTTCTTTCTTTTTTTTAATCATTTTATTAGGGGCTCATACAACTCTTATCACAATCCATACACACATCAATTGTGTAGAGCGCATTTGTACATTCATTGCCCTCATCATTCTCAAAACATTTCCTCTCCACTTAAGCCTCCGGCATTAGGTCCTCATTTTTCCCCTCCCTCCCCGCTCCCCCTCCCTCATGAGGCCTTGATAGTTTATAAATTGTTATTTTGTCACATCTTGCCCTGTCCGACGTCTCCCTTCACCCACTTCTCTGTTGTCCGTCCCCCAGGGAGGAAGTCACATATAGTTCCTTGTAATCGGTTCCCTCTTTCCTACCCACTCTCCCTCTACCTTCCCTGTTTTGCCACTCACACCACTGGTCCTGTAGGGCTCATCTGCCCTGGATTCCCTGTATTTTCAGTTCCTATCTGTACCAGAAACACTCATCTTTTGAAGTAGTGTGAATGTGAGGGAGGGCAGGGAGAGGTGGTGGGGACCAGTGGGAAGACTCCATACAGTTGATCAAGCACCCACGACGGTTTGACACTTCACCTTGCCTACACCACTTCATGCCATCCCAACAATACTTTCATGGGCACCCGTCTCCAATGTAACCTGAGATAAGTTACCCAAAACCCAGACCAAGCCCACGGCCCTCCAGGCAATTCTGACTCAAGCACCCTGTAGGCAGTGTCTGCCCCAAGAAGTTGTCAAGGTCTTAATCTCTCCAGAAGGAGATTTCCATACCTTTCTCCTCCAGGGCCGTGGGTGGGTCCAAACAGTTGACCTGTAAGTTAGCAGGCAAGTGTTTTCAAGTCATTTTATCGAAGGTCACAAGGCATAGGGAAGATTCAATTCTGAAGGGCAATGTAACTGAGAGGAATTACCGAAACCACAATGAAGGCTGAACATGGCAGTGGGACAAGAGGAAAGGAAAAGGAAATAGAGGAAAGAACTAGGAGGCAAAGGGCATGTATAGAGCTCTAAATACAGGCATGTACATATGTAAATATATTTACATATGAGGATGGGGAAATAGATCTATGTGCATACATTTATAAGTTTAGTATTAAGGTAGCAGATGGACATTGGATTTCTACTCAGGTACTCCCTCAATGCAAGAACACTTTGTTCTATTAACCTGGCATTCCATGGCGCTCACCTTCCCAACACAATCGCTGAAGGCCAAGCAGGTGCATAAGCAAATGTGGTGAAAAAAGCTGATGGTGCCAGCCTATCAAAAGATATGGCGCCTGGGGTCTTAAAAGCTTGAAGATAAACAAGCGGCCATCTAGGTGAGAAGCAACAAAGCCCATATGGAACAAGCACACCAGCCCGTATGATCATGAGGTGTTGATAGGATCAGGTATCAGGCGTCAAAGCCCCAGAACAAAATATCATATCATTGTGAATGAGGGGAAGTGTAGAGTGGAGACCCAAAGCCCATCTGTAGGCAACTGGATATCCCTGTACAGAAGCGTCTTGGGGAGGAGACAAGCCAGTCAGGGTGCAGTGTAGCACCGATGAAACATACAACTTTCCTCTAGGTCTTTAATGCTTCCCTCCCCCAATCCCCCCCATCAAGACCCCAGTTCTACCTTACAAATCTGGCTGGACCAGAGCATCCACACGGGTACAGATAAGGGCTGGAAGCACAGGGAATCCAGGACAGATAAATCCCTCAGGACCAATATTGAGAGTAGCCATACCAGGAGGGGAAGGGGAAGGTGGGGGGACTTAGGGGGAACTGTTCAATGATCTATCTATAAGCCCCTTCCAGGGGGATGGACAACAGAAAAGTGGGTGAAGAGAGACCTTGGTCAATGTAAGACATGAAAAAATAATAATGATTTATAAATTATCAAGGATTCATGAGGGAGGGAGGGAGGGAGGGTGGGGGAGGGAGGAGAAAAAATGAGAAGCTGATACCAAAGGTTCAAGTAGAAAGCAAATGTTTTGAGAATTATGAGGGCAACAAATGTACAAATGTGCTTGACACAATGGATGCATGGATTGTGGTAAGAGTTGTATGAGCCCCCAATAAAATGATTTAAAAAAAGATTTAATTCTGCATGACTCAAAGCCTTAGCTGAGACAGAAGTTCTAAGGAAGAAAACTTACTCTTTGGGGTTGATTATCCAATGGCGCCAAGAATTCACAGCATATATAGTTTTTTTCTTTTCTTTCTTTTATTTTTGTTTGTTTTCTTAAGTCTGTCTCAGAACCCACAGGGGAAGTTCAACCCTGCCCTCTGGCACTGCTATGTCAGAAATGACTCGATGGCAGTGTTTTGTTTTTAATGATGGTTAAGAGTTCTGACACTGCTTATGTTATTCTCTGAACTTAAAAGAAGGAAGGGTTTACCTATAAAATATGAATAAATATACATCTTTTCTTTCTTTTTTTAAAAATATACACCTTTTCAAAGGACTGTTAACCATGGTAGAGTAACAGTACTTGGCAAATATACTGTTCAGTATTTAATGCCATCAACTATGATGCTAATATATATATGTATATATCTGAACTAGGAGGTTGATAGTCTAATTGGAATGATCCAATTCCAATCACAATACAACTATTTTCCCTGTTTGTGCTACATATTACCAATGTTTCAAATGAACACACCATTTTGTATGGCTTTAAATCAAACATAAGTGTACTTTTATACTCTGTTCTTTCAATATACAAGTACTTTTCCATAATTATTATTCTTCATAATATTAATTTTAGGAAACCCTCTAATTTTCACTAGAGTAGACGTCATACTTTACTTGATTTATTGATCCTACATTTAGTTTGCCTTTGGTGTCTTAGAGCTATAAGATATTGTAACGAGCATCTCTGTTTTCTCTTTTCCTTATTCTCGGAAATGGGATTGCACGTTTGACAGTGTGTCGTTCTAAGGACTCCGACACCTCCCATGTAGTCATGTATCAGTTTCACTGAAGCTTGACCAGGAGAAAGTACATACAGTCAAAATTTTTTTTTTTTTTAGAATTCAGTGCCCTGGTGTGATTCTGTCCTACGCTGCTGTATATAGCAAGGGTTTAGCTCCGTTTTCTGTTTCTTTCACCAAAGTGCATGTCAGCACCCGATGGAAGATTCGGTGGATATGGACATGAGCCCCCCTGAGGCCCCCAAACTATCTTTTTGGTTGTGAACTAAAGGCCGACAAAGATGACCACTTTAAGGTGGATAATGATGAAAATGAGCACAGTTTGGGTGCTGGCGCAAAGGATGAACTGCAGATTGTAGAAGCAGAATCAACAAATTATGAAGGCAGCCCAATTGTACAGGCAATTGTACAACCTAATTGCACAGGCAACTTTGAAAATGCCTGTACAGCCAACGGTCTCCCTTGGGGGCTTTGAAATACCACCACCAGTGGTCTCACGGTTGAAGTGTGGCTCAGGCCTGTGCACACGAGTGGACAGCTTTGAGTAGCTGCGGAGGATACGCAGAGTCAGATGATGAAGAGGAGGAGGATGTGAAACGTTTAAGTGTACCGGGAGAGCGGTCTGCCCCCCAAGCGGTAACAAGGTACCACAGAAGAAGGTGAGACTTGCTGCTGATGACAAAGAGGAAGATGGTGATTTTGATGATGATGAAACTGAAGAAAAAGCGCCAGTGACGAAATCTATTCGGGAGACTCCGGCCACAAGCACACAAACATCAAACCAGATGGAAAAGACTCGCAACCATCAACACCAAGATCCAAAGGTCATGAATCCTTCAAAAAACAGGGAAAAACTCCCAAACACCGAAAGGCCCTAGTTCTGCAGAACACATTAAAGCAAAAATGCGAGCAAGTCTAGAAAAGGCGCATGGAACGGTCCTGGGCACTACTGGCAAATTAAGCCCAAAGATGGGGAGAGGAAAGGGGGAGACAGATATCGTCCCCACCGAGGAGCATGCACAGTGCAGATGGAAGTCTTCTCCTGCCATCTCAATCCCCTGCCAGCCACGGCCCCTTGCAGGCAGGACGCAATCTCATTCCGCTTTCCTTTGAATCAGTGCACCCAACTCTGCTCTCTCATATTTTCCTCGCTTTTCTCATCATGTTTTGATGACCTTTGTGTCTCCTAGCTGTTCAATAAATATTTGAATACCCCCACCACCAAAAAAAAAAAAAGAATTAAGTGGGGGAAAAAAACGTTCTTTACAGATTTCATCTGCACTTCTGGTTGGCAACATTTGAGCATTTTCCTGCACATGCAATTTGCCCTTTAACAACTTGTAGACTGATTATATCTAGGTTCTCTGATGAACAGACAAAAAGCATACATTTAGAAAGCCAGTAAAGCTCTCAGTAGATTGCCAACAGCATTTTTTGCCCACTACTATGTTTCAAAATCTCCATCCTCCGAAGATGGAATTTGTCCTCCATCAGCTACTGGTGTCAGAAGAGTTGCTGAGCCTGAGGTGACCTGCCAGTGGCTAAAGAGAAGGGCAGGGGCCTGCCCCTATGGCGGCACGACTGTGCAGGGTTTTGTTTGTTTGTTTGTTTGTTTGTTTTTAATAAATAATTGTATTGGGGGCTCTTACAGCTCTTATAATAATCCATACTTCAATTGTATAGGTTACCACCAGCTCTTCTTTTTTCCTTCCCTCCCCTCTCCCCTACCTCGTAAATCCTTGATACATTTTATATTATTTTTATTTTCATATCTTAGACCATCCACTATCTCCCTTCACCCAGGTGTCTGTTGCTTGTGCGCCTTTGATCATTGGAATCGGTTTCCCCTTTCCTCCTACCCTCATGGTATCACTCCCCCCATTGCTGTTCCTAAGGGGTTTATCTGTCCTGGATTTTGTGTGTTGAGAGCTCTTATCTGTACCAGTGTACTGCACCCTGGCTGACTCGTCCCATCCTTGTGACCCTTCTATAAGGGGATGTCCAATTATCTGGGTTTTAGGTCACCACTCTGAGGCCCCTCGTTTGCATCAATACTATTGTTTGATGTGGGTTGTCTGATGCCTGATCCCTGATCCCTTTGACACCCCATGATCACACAGGCTGATGTGTGGTTTGCTCCATGTGGGCTTTGTTGCTTCCCTGCGCTAGATGGCCGTGTATTTAACTTCAAGCCTTTAAGACCCCAGACGCTATATCTTTTGATAGCCGGGCACCATCAGCTTTCTTCACCACATTTGCTTATGCACCTGCTTTGTCTTCAGCAACTGTGTCAGGCAGGTGAGCATCACAGAATAGCCTGGGCAGTTTTGGATGGGCACTGCCCATGAGTGGAAAGATCACTTGCTGGAAGATGTCTGTCTTGAGTCTGGTCGGTTGCAAAAAGAGGAGCTTAGGTGTTCAGGGGAGTGGTATTTTTGGAAGCCAAGGGTTTTACTTACTTGTCATTGACAAATGAGTACATTAATAACCGCTCGTCTATGAACTTCTTCCACTCTGGTTTCTCGTTAGCCAGGTCCCGGTAGTTGTCATTGGACACAATGATCCCATCTGACTCAAAGGCCAGCTTCACGATGAACCTGTCGTCATAGCACACCACGCGCCGTCCCTGCACGCGGCGGGAGGGCGTGAACACCAAGATCTTCTCCTTCTCTAATTTCCGCAGGATTTCTTGATCTGCCGGGATAACGGGGACATTTTCAGGAACAGAGACAGACACACGAAAAGCACAGACAGCAACTTCCAGAGAATGCAAGCTTCACATCAGGAGCTGGGAAATGGAATCATCAGGCTGGAGATTCCGACTTAAGAAGTTGTGACAGTATACAATTTGTAAGCCCCCGCAGTAACAGAAATGTTACTTTTCCTTCAGCAATTTCAGTCACAGAGACAGACGCATGTGAAAAATAACCCCACCAACGATTGCATGCAACTTAAACATGTCCGAAGGAATCCTGAGCTTGAGCCGCTGGCGCTACGGCTGGGTCCTACGGCTGGGTCCAGCTCCTGGCACATCCCGGGCACACACAGCACCGCCCGATCCAGCGGCGGTGTCGGTTCCGTGTGCGACAGCGGGCCTCCCCTCGTCTCTGTGTCTCCTTTAGAGTTCTTTTCTCTAACTGCAAAAGGGGGGCCACGGGAAAGGCCTTAAGGTGCAGAACGTCCAGAGGCAGCGAGGGTCAAACCTCTGGTGCTGCACACAGCCCTGAGGGGGCCCATGCCTGTCCCTGTGAAGCTATGCTCTGGGCTGGACTAAGGAAGAGGTGGGAAACACACGTACAACAGCAACCAGGGGCCACGGAGTCGATGTCAACTCCGAGCAGACAGCGACTTCCTGTCGGGCTCCCGAGGGGGTAATCTTTGCGGAAGCAGGGCCACAGCTTCTTCCTGCAGAACGGGTGGTGCATTTGAGCTGACAGGCAGGTTTTAAAACAAGAGATTGGGAGTGGTTGGAAGGGAACTGCTACAATAGAGAGGGAAAAACAAAACAGAAAAACAACACAAAAGTCCTTTTGACTTTGTTGGGAATATGCTGGTAGCCATTTGTACTGCTAACAATTTGTTTCTTGGTGAAAACAAACATGCCACAGAAAACCCCATAGGTTCATATTTTGATCAATGATAACCTTTCTCTCTCAATCGTCCCTTCTGCCCAGTTCCCCTCATTGTGTGTTATCTCGCCATCCTGAGTTCTATAGATGGCCAGACTCCCTACAGGAGTCTTGTGTCAAACAGAGAGGTCCACTGCTTCCGAATGTTATGCACTGGAAATGTACCAGGGTGGATTTTTTAAGGAAGACAGTCCAGTTTTTCTTTAAAAAGAAGAAGCATTTTATGGACATAGAATTCACATACCATACAAACCAATCCTTTAAATCCATAACAAAATTGTGCAATCTTACCACACCAATTTTGACGATTCTTACATCCATTATCATTAGCATCTCCTTCCCCCGAACCGCCTATGTTATAACCAAAATAACGAAACAAAACCGAAACACGGCAACGATGGGTCTAGTTGCTGTCTCTGTAGGTTTACCTATCCTTGGGTAAGCCATTTTTCCCAGCGGAAACTTATTGCCTGCCAACTCCACCGTCTGTACTTGACTAGTTGTTAATGACCACCAGGTTAAGAAAGGCCTCTCTTTGAGGATCGGTACGTTTTAGCAGGTGAGCAAACTTGTAATTGTCACAGTAGAAGTATGAGCCAGGGAAGGAAGAAGAGGGAATGGAGGAGCGATATGGAACGGTGCTCATGCTGGTACAGAGAGCTGATGCTGCTCCTAGCAAATGCGCTCATCAGCACTGGCACGGACACTGGAGACGAAGAAGAGAGGACAAGTAGAAGAGAGCTGAACAGTGGAACCAGCAAACCATAGCTTATGATTGGTCCAACAGCGAGGAGCTTTGTTTTCTTGATGTTCAGTGAAATCCACTCTGCCGGTTGTCGCCTTCAGTTTTATCAGTAGGTGCTTCAAGCACCTCTTTGGTTTCAGCAAGCGTGTCACAGGTTGTTCCTGGGCCTTCCTCTAGTTCTGATGCCCTCTTCTTCATATGGCCCCGTTTCACAGATTATTTGCTCAGCAGTCCGATTGAATAACTATGGGGCAAAGGATCACAGCACTGAAGCACACTTTCCCTGCTTTTAAACCACACACTATCACTTTGTTCCATTTGAATGACTTGGTCTATATAAAAGTTCCAAGAGCACAATGAAATGTTCTGGAATTCACATTCATTCCAATGTTATCCATAGTTTATGATCCACACAGTTGAATGTCTTAGCAGTGAGTCAATAGAAACAGGAGTAAACACTTTGCTTTCAGCAGTAATATCCCTTGTCTTCTTCTGAATCTGGCTTGAGTTTGTGGCAGCTCCCTATAGAATTTTACTTACATGCAATAACAATGTTATTCAATGGTTTTTGCATTGTGTTGCATCACCTTTCTATAGAATGGATTATAAGGTTATCTTCCAGTAGGTTAGTAGGTTAGCCAGGAAGATGTCTTCCAAAGTTCTGGGTATAGACTAGTGAGTGCCTGTGGTACTGCATCATTTTTGCTGAAACATTTCAATTGGTATCCCCTCAATTTTAGAGCCAAGTTTTTTGCTAATGCCTTCGGGGCAGCTTTGACTTCTTTCTTCAATACTCTCAGCTCTTGATCATATCCTCTCTCTTAAAATGGTTGAATGTGGACCAATTCTTTTTGGTATAGTGACTCTGTGTCTTCCTTCCATCTCTTTTGATGCTTCATGCATCAATATTTTGCCCATAGAATCCTTCAATATTGGAACTAGAGGCTTGACTTCTTTCCTTAATTCAGCTTAAGATACACTGCATGGCTCTTCCCTTTTGTTTTTGCAATTCCTGGGGCTTCTGGGTGGACTCACATGGCCAAACCTTTGTTTAGCAGCTAACCAACCATTTGCACCATGCAAAGACTATGACCTTATATCTATGTGTTAAATGAATGTAAGACTAGATAAAGATGCTGATCTGAACCTTAAATTCTAAGCACTCTAAATTACTTGTTATTCAAGTTTGTTTTCTCACCCTTGTGACATCAGAGGAGGCCGGTGTTACTTCCATTGCCTTTTCACACTTGGCACACTGATTATTTTTGAATGAATTAAACTCAGTCATATCTCACACTTACCCCTTCTTAATCTCATGCTCTAGAAGGTTTCCAATCATTCACACACTTAAATCTGTTTTTCTTTCTTAGTTTACTTTTCTGATTACCAAAGCCTTAAATGTTCTCTGTAATGAGAAAATACTGAGAAGCGAGGAGAAATAAAGATCGCACACCGCCAAAACTTGCAGGCTATGACTGCTGACATCTTGGCAAAATGTTTTTCTAGTCATTTTGCCTGTAAAATTGTTGATCTATATACATGTGTATGAATGAGTAAACACATACGATCATGAAACCTGTCTTTAATGCATAGGAGCCCTTCTTCGGCTCATTAAAACTTCTGCCCAAACATTCTAATGCATAGTCTATCATACTGATGCCTCCTTAAAGTAGTGAGCCATCCCTCCAACGAGGAACGTACAGATGGCTTACAGTTTCCCTCTGTGACGTGTGACGCTGCGCTGGCTGCCACTGGACAAGGATCTCCGCGTGGCTCTGTGGTGACTGTGTTGGGAGGTTTTCCTTGAAAGGGAGCTTTGAAGACTGACATGTTAGGATGCAATTACTTTCAATAAGGCCTCTAACGATTTACATTTCCATGGCCCCTCCACAGTGTACTACTTGTTTAAATGTTTCTGTTAATTCTACGAGTGAAAAATATAAGCCAACCATTGTTTTCCCTTACATTTCTCTAATAATTATTGAGGTTGAGCGTTTCGCCTTCTTGTTCGACATTTGACTGGTGTGCGTGGCTGATGGGCGTCATTTTACCATTGACGTCCTGGGGTGGGTGGGGTGGGGGTACTTTGCGTTTGTCTGAACAATCCGATGAGTTCTTTCTGTGGCCAGGATGTGGATTCTCTCTTTTTTTCCTCCTAGGGACCAGGTTCTTTCATTGTTCAGATGTGCCCCCTTCACCCCCCTCAAGACCCACAAGTTTAAACGTTATGGTTACATCCTATCCTTTGTCATTTTTTTCTGCTTTTAAATGGAAAAAAGTACTCATGTCTCCAGTCAAAGACTATCTATATGATTTCTGATATTTAATCTTTCAAGTAATCTGGAATTTACTGTCATACAGCATAAGTACATAAGTATACTCATGTGTGTATACATGTATACAGTGGAGCTATTTCAGAGGACATCTTCGTCTGAAACTCATACATATATTGGGCTGCTTCACCCTCACACACACACTGTCTCCCAGAAAGGATGATCCAGTGTCTTGGCACTACTGGCTGAGCTGCTTCCACAGAAAAGAAAAGACAAGGTAGCTAAAGTAGCAGGGGTCAAGCTTAGGTGGTCCACACCTCTGCAACTTGACAGTCTTCTCTAGAGCAGGCCCGGCTGAGTCCCTGCGTTTGAACGCTGCCACGCCTTGTCTGTCTGTTCTTGATGCGAGCTGAGCAATGATTTAATGATTGGAGATAAAGAGAATGTTTTAAGAGTTGATAAGCCAATCTCCCTTGCCAATGACTCTTTGTTCTCTGTTCTTGTGCTTCTCTTTCCAGACGATTCAGGATGATGGGGTTTTCCTGTGGTCAGGATGGCGCTGCACTTGTAAATGAGTTTGGTCAGAACACACAGCACTAACGTGACCTCCCATTTCAGGCATCTGCAGGTCGCTGCTTCCTGGGTTCTTCTGTGGTTTGCGTTCCCGTGGCTCCCCGGGTTGTTGTAATGTCGGAGGCGGAGAGATGGGTGAGAAGGGCTGGCTGCTGAATGGGACTCAGCCAACTTGGGCCAAATGTTACTACACAACCATGATGTAACAGCAACAGAGGACAAACACCTTGGGCTGAAAGTTTAAAACATTGTTAAAAAGAATACAAAATAGAAATACTTTACTGGAAACTTTCCTCCTCCTCAACCTTAGCTTGTCATTTTTGGCCTGCAGTAATCAGAATCCGACCGTCACCCAGTCTACTTTCACAGAGCAGATGAGGCAATTGAATCCCCTCTCGACCCAGTTCCATCATCACTCAACTGGCAGAGCCAGAAGTTGAACATAGGTCTCCTGACTCCTAGCACATCTCTAAAGATGTGGCTTTACATAAGCTTTCGTCCAGAGTTTCCACATAAATGAAAAATAGAGCCGCCAATGTAGAAAGACTTGATATTTGGTTAACAGAACTAGAGGATTCTCAAAGTTGAATAAACAGTTGCAACAAACTTTAATGTCCCATCCAAGAGCGTATCGGCAGTCCCACAGTTTGAGCAAGCACCATCAGGTTAGCACGCTGGTTAGCACGCTGGTCAGCACAACACCCAAGGGTGGCAGAGAGCCGCGGGGAACACGGAACACCCCACGAGCAGCGCTCACCTGTAATGAGGGCATCTGGTCGTGACTGCTCTTTTCTCCACGCAGGAACAAAAACGGTAACATCTTTGTGGCCTCTTTCCAAGAACCAGTCCACCGCCAGTTTTATTCCACGGCAGGAAAATACTTCTTTGTTTCCGTGGCTGGAAGATTATTTGTGAACACTTAGACACAAACATACTGAAATTCACTTGAATTAGTCAATCATGTTTCAAGCAGATCGGGCCATATGACTGTCATAATAACCAAGGATTGACAATTAAGGCAGGATTGCATAGTGTTGGGAAATATTACAAGGACTTAGGTGTGGAATATGAAGATCTGTAAGAAAAAAATATGCAAAAACCCCAATGATGATGATTTGTGGAAAATAAAAGTGCTTTCAAATGTAAACCTGTGAAAGTTGAACAGTCAGAGAGACATGAGAGCTCTTTTGCACGAAGACACGGAAACATGGAAAGGACTTCAACCACAGTTAGGACAACTGAGGTCACAGCAAGACAGAAGTCACACAGGAAGAGTATCGGCAGCAACGGTGCAACGGGATATTTCGGAGTTCCTGAAGCTTGTGTCTCGAGAACTCTATGCCTGTATTTCAATAAAATGATCAAAAAAGTTTACAAAATGTACTGGGTGGCCAACGTAAGACAACGCCCCATGCCTTCCCTGAGGGGAGAAGCACGCACACGAGGCTTCATCGCATACAAGACACACTTTCCACGGTCGGACACGCATTAATGATGGCAAACGGGCATTCAAAATTGGGTTAGCCGTCTTAGTGTCTCAAAGAGGCCCAACTCCAAAGCTGGCAGTCACTCAAGAAATGTTTGTCTAGCACCAGGCTTCGCTAGCTTCTACACTTGAACCTAATAATCCGATGTCTTCAGAAAATACGTCTCCTGCCTCCAATGTAATAATTACCTTCCTTTACCGTTTGTGCTCTAAGGGCTCCATTTTCTTACCTACAGATCGTTCGTCTTTACTTCTTGGGGCTTAGGAGGGCTGAATGGGACGATGTAGGTAAATGCTCTAACTTTTAAGTGCAACTAGACCATCAAGCCTCAGTACACGTGTTGTTGCTGAGGTCCCCCGGGAAGCACCAGAGCCATCTAACATATGGCTAGTCAGTTTTAGACACAAAACAAAAAGAGACCCATTGCTTTGTAGATGCTGACAGCTATCAGCACAAACCACAGAGACTGTTGTGAGTCCACACCGGACCGAACGGTCCAGGGCCAGGGGAGAGAGCGGGCTCGGCCACAGTGGCGGCTTCAGAACATGGGCGAAGCAAAGTGAGGGTTGAGGTCCTGCTTTCAAAAGTCAGAAAGGGGGCACGTTAGCCTGAGCAAAGCACAATTAAGTTTCATGGAAACTAATGAAATCAAATCCCTCTTCTGGGAACTGGGTCTGTATAGACTATGCTAGGTGTTTAGATTTGAAATCATTAATCACCAGTAGGACAAGGGCCGTGTCTCGAATGGATGCTGAGCAGCTAAGGAAACTAAAGCCGACCCATTGTCGTTGGGCCAATTCTAACACAGACAGATTCTGCAGAGCAGGGTAGAATTGCTCCTTAGGGCTTCTGAGACCAGGAACAGGCAGCCTCCTCTTTCTCCTTCAGAATGGCTGGTGGGTCTGAAACTCGGGTTGTTAGTAATGCGATGCTTAACCCACAGTGCTCCCAGGGCCCCAGTCATTAGGAGGGATTCAATGGGCAATCTACCCCAAAAGCCTCATTTGCTGTACACGGGGACTATTTCAAAGGAAAGCAAAGTACTGGGCCATGTACCCTAGGTCCTGCACACAGAGGTTTAGAAAGGCCTACCACTTCAATCCTTGCTTTTGAGAGAGGCCATGCTTATTGTTTCTGAATATACAACTCACCTTGCTGGAACCTTACTGTATTTTTATTTTGTATTGATACATTGGAATCTAAATATATATTATCTTGTTAGTTACTAATGATGCTGTAAGAAGACCGGTGGTGCCCTCGGCTGCAGGTTCAAACCTAGCAGCTGCTCCTTGGGAGGAAGATGGGGCAGGGATCTGCTTCTGTAAAGATTTGCAGCCCTGAAACCCGTAGGCGCAGGTCTACCCTGTCCTGCGGGTTCACTAGCTGTCGAGACTGCCTTGCCAGTCCTGGGAGGTGATGCTTGGTTTACTAAGAAAACATTTGACCGTGTCTGGCCTTAGAGAGAGGCCCACACAAGCATTTTCTTGCTGGTGACTGCATTTGGTAAGGGCAGCTGTCACACTGGGTCACTCTAGAAATAGACATGTGTCCGCCTTCTAATTAGAGAACTTACATCAAATGTGTGTGAAGAGCACACCATCTGCAAGCACGGGATGTCGACTCTCGGGGCTCAAAGAGAATACTGTCGCCTGACAGAGAGACGATAAAGCTAGTCCTCGGGAGCCTCTCCCTTCCCCACGTCCCTTTCTCCTTATGCCGGGAAAAATACGTTAGAAGGAACGGGCCTTACACTAATGAACTGGGATTGGTTTAAGCTGCTCAGGCTAACCTCATCTCGGATGGCCAGAGGCTGACCTGAGTGCTCTCCGGACAAGAAGTAAGGAGACGTGGTGGGTTGTGTGTCCTACTCACAGTGCCCGCCCCATGGAGGGAGCAAGTATGCCTTCCTGGGTGGACAGACCAACACCCCTGAGCTTCTCGTTCCTTGAGAAAACATGACAATCCTGCTTGTTTGGAGCGTCTGTACGTAGTCAAATATTGTTGTTTGCTGCTGGACACGCTTCCATCTTCTACACTCAGCATACCATCAACCCAAATAAACCTGATCTAGCTCTTTTACTATACCAGGGGAAAAGTACATTGTCATGCAGGCCATTATTAGGGACAAAAAGCTAGAATATAATTAAAGGAGCAATTGAAAAAGAAGCTATAATCCTTGTATGCACATAAAACGCCTTCACATATATAATGAAAATATGACAGAATTACTAGAAGAAATTGATAAATTTGCAATCTCACTATTTGGGCGAGGGAGAAAAACAAGCCATGAATTGGCCGGGGGAATTGGTAGCCCCTTGGATCTAATATGAGACCCTGTGTGATAGCAAAGTCTCACTTTGACTATTTCAGCTCAGTGGGACTTGGTTTCCATGAGAGATTTTCAAATGCCTCCTGCAAATTTTGAGCTACTGAGGATCACAGTGGGTGATACAAGCTTTGAGGTCCCACCTGACTCATCACTGGCTTCAGTGGCAGAAAAGTGTGGAAAAACCCAGGATGTTGTCCACGGGTTTTTCTCTCATGGGTGTACCTCACTCTATCATGGCTGTAATGGGTATACTTAATGAGCTTTTCGTGGTAGAGGAAAGTTCTTTTGAGATAGACAAATTGGTATGTTCACAAAGATTAAAAAAACAAACAAAACAACAACAACAAAACACTAAACTAAAATCTACCAAGCAACAACATAAAAGATTCTTGGCATTTCTGGATCTCAAGAAATTGTGAAAGACCAATAAAACGATTTAAAAAAATACAATTGTAACTGTTGTGACACACACACACACACACACACACACACACACAAAGAAATATATGAAAGAATCTATTAGAAAGCCATAGAGAATGAATTAAAAAACAGAGGAACAGACTTAAGGAACCAAAAGCTCTCTCTCCCCCCACCCCCCACCTCCCCTCCCTGTAGTTCTGTCTTCTGTTGTTGCCCCTTCTTTGCCTCAATCCGGGTCTTGGCAGACAGGGATCATGATTCTTGGAGGAAGATTCTCAATGGGGGTGGGACCTTGGGAAGGGGAACAACTGTCAGCCCTATTCGAATGTCCTGAAGGGATTCCATTCCAAGACTCGCCTGTAAACCATCATGCAAACCATAGGTGGAGAAGCAGAAATGATTAAGAGGAAAGAGCAATAAATCTGTGAATTTGGGGAAGAGACTGTGCCGAAGAATTAGGACTTCAGATTGGTGAGTGGTTGCCTTGGTAACTTGGATGAAAGGAACTAAAGAGGAGTCAGGCTACTGCATAGCAAAATGAGACTGAAATTACAGAGCCAGACAAACCAACTTACTTTTCATCTTGACATGAAATAAATATGCCCTATGTCCTCCGTGACGACACAGATGCCTCTTGGGACTGGAGGGAGGGCCAGGCCTGGTGAAAGTGCATATTTCGCCCCCAGCTGATATTACCCACCCTAAGAGGAATTTTCCAGTGCTCTTGGAAGATGGCAGAGATTTGGCAAAGGGCTCCAGGCATGCTTTGCATCGACAGCCCCAGGGGGCTGCATTAGTGGGGCTGCTGCAGGCACGAGGAGAGCAAAGGGACAGTGTCCTCCTAAGTAAACTCCAGACCTCAGCCAGGGACCGCCACAGGCTGCTCTCCCCACCCTGCAAACCCAGCAGGAGGGGCTCCCGGAGGCAGTCCTTCTGGGGCAGGAAGGCCTGGTGCCCTGCCCCCACTGATTGTCCTCAGGGGCTCACGGAGGCACAGTCTGGATTTGTAGGGGGGGAGGGTTCGGAGCAAGATCAGCAGTGACCCTTCTTGCGTCCTCTCAACTTCAGTGGGCAGCCTTGTTGCCAGGATTTCAACACAGAGCAGGAGTCAGACAGCAAGGGCATCCTCAGCCAAAGACCAAAAGAAACTTCAGATCGAAGACTGGAAGTATTCACAGCGGGAGGGAGCAAGCTGTTATCCGGGCAGCCAACAAAGAGGAATCTCCCAATGTCGTTACTACTGGAAGACGCTAGGATCCTGGACCAAGGAGTGCAGAGATGCCAACTCGCATGAAGCACGGCTCCTCTCTGGGAGACGACCGCCACCCCAGACAGAAGATGGCAAATGGTGCAAGCTAATGGGCAAAACCCGACCTAATTGAGGAGCCCTGCTGCTGGAGTGGGAATCTTATATACCTGTTTCCTTTTCCCGGCTTTAATCTTTCCTGTCCCTGATCACTGGCACTGGAGACCTGGGATTCTGCCATTTCAATGGACCATTCTTGTTTGACCCAGAGAGTTATCCCAGTTATGGCTTTTGACCTGTTCTTTCTCCTCTGAGATGCTCAAGCAAATAGGTCTTCTCTTTGGACGGCCAGACCTCTCTCCAGACTCCTGTCAACCTGCTGGAAAGGAACCTGCTGTGTGCACTACCATCTTTG